GGCTCAAGGTGTTTCTGTTCGATTCCGTTTGGACGTACACCCTTAGTCTATCACATGAGGTTTGTCGCGATAGATTTTCTGCGTTCTTTCTTTTGTTTGTCTGTTTTGTCGTATGTTATTGCCCTCCAATTCCTCCCTTTTATGGATCATCCATATGATTCAGAAGATAGATTTATTTGAAAACAAACTGGCGACTTCTAAAAGAGAAAAAAAGAGAAAAAGAACCAAAATAGCTGAGAATAATGCAAATATGTTGACAAAGGTAGTGACTGTTGAGAAACTAAAGCTATGCTTGACTTCATTTGGACTTTATGAAGATTTAGATCGGAGGTGAGCCACGCTACGGTACGTGACCACACCACGTGAATATGAAGGTGATTCAGATACCGGTGCAGGTACAATAATGGTGCTTAGTAGAATCAGTCTCCAAGTGAGAGATTGTTATGAGTGGAGGCTGATTTGGTGAGCAGCGGGACAGAGCACCCGTTGCTTATGTGCCAGGTTGTGGGTGCTTAAGCTCTAGCTTGGGTGCTGCTCGAAAGAGGAGGCGCCTATTTCCCGAGAGCTTGGCGCATAGGCGCCAAGTTCGGGCACCTAAATGCCAGGAGTGGTTTGTGTCAAGAATTGATTTTTAATCTCGATTTCGAGTAGTGTAAGGTAGGGCTTGGTGTATCTTCCTTCGGTATTCTTGGACGAGCATTTCGATGAAGGTGAGTATCAAAGAGGTGGATTTCGATGATTCGGTGTGATTTTTGCATCGGATTGGAGAGGGAGGATTGTGGAGCAAGTTCTATAAGTTTTCTTTGTGTGTGGAGAGAACTTGTGTGAGCTCTTTGTAAATCTTTTGAATTTCATTGTGAAAATTTCTGGTGCTCCGGCTCCTTGGTTTTTTTCCGTTCTCGGGTTTTTTTCACATAAATTATTGTGTGTTTTTCTGGTTGCTTTGATTGTATTTCTGTTTCAATTTTTGTTCTGATTTTTTATCGAATTGGTGTGATCTCATTATTCCGCGTTGTGGTTTAGTTTCTAATTGATCATAAACCCGAGTAAAGTTGAGAATTATTCGTTGTGTGATTTTTTATCATAGTTCTCCTAGAACATATTTTGGAAGTGGATTTAGAGGAGAGGTAGTTGTCAAATAGCTAAGGAACGAAAATATGGGAGCTCGATGGCAATTGGAAGGGGGGGATACACATCGTTTATCAGCAATATTGGCTGAAAAGAACAAAGGGAACTCCAAATCGTTAATTTTCAAGTTGCGAGGAGGTTTCACCACTATTCCTAAGAAAAATACTAACACATAATTTGCAAATGGAGAAGGATAAAACATTCCTTATGGTAGAAATCAAATATTACACTCTCCAAAGCACACAAACAAAACAAAATTATAAAATAAGTGAAATACATGTATAAATAGTACACTCATAGAAAATTAACTAATGGGAAATAGAGAAATAGGGAGAAAATTAAAAAGAATAAAAAACGTGTTGAATTGGAAGTTGGTGTTGTATTCCAAATCTTGCTATTGTCGGCTTCTCACAATTCAGTGGAGATGTGGGATTCCACGATTTGCAAAACACCGAGATCGGTATTCCGCATGACAGAGGCTTCTACATCATTCTCCTTTAATAGGAGAGACTTCATCTTCTTTGGAAGCTTCAAGAACTGAACTACAATCATAACAAAATCATTGCCTTGAGCTGTAGTTGAGGCAACTCCACTATAAAATTTATGTTCACGCCATCTCAGGCAACTCCAAAACATATCTATCTTTTTTTTGGCACAACTAGAGTTGGAATTGCATGCCACCATGTCTCGAGCCAAGTTTGTCTTGAGCAACTAATTCTGGAGTGAATTATGTGGCTTGCTGGACCACTCTTTATGTCAATCACTCATGAGGTAAACTGTCGCTCAGTTTATCTGGCTACTCCATCAACAGGGTTTGTCTTTTTTCTGGTATAGGCTTTTTAGACTCGTTACCCTTTAGAACAATCAATGTTAATCCAATTGGAGTTTCTCATATAGGCCCAGCTTGAATCACCAGCATCTTTTTTTTGTTGGCTGAAAGCTGAGACTCCTTGAAGTTTTCACCTTTACAATGTCACTTTTCATTTTTTTTAACTACCCTCTGCTCAATGAAAAAGATCATCATCCTATTTGGGCAATCTGATGTAATGTGCCTAAATTCGTGGCACTTGAGAAAATACTTTGTTGGGACAGATTTGGGAGTACTGGACGTCTCCTATTTTTTTGCCACCTTGAATTGACTTTTTCTCTGGCAGAGGGTTGGTTGGGATTTTTCCCTGGATGTACTCTTATTTCCTGATTCTATGGTTGAACCGTGCTTGTAAGGTGTGGGTGTGACCTTGCGACGTGGTTTTTTCACCTTCAAAGTTTGGATCTGTAATTTGAGTAGTGATACACAGCTGCAACTGCACCATATTTCTAAGAGGCAACTTCTGTCCTACAAGGTACCTTGCTATTTTGTGCTCATCTCATTCCACCAACTTATATTTTGGATCGAGTTCATTAAATTCAACCATGTACTCTACCACAGAAGAATTCTTCAGCATGGTTAGTTGAGCTTATTGAATATATCCTACTGGTAATGTGGAAGAATGTATTAGCATTGCATATCCCTTTTCATCTTGAATTCGGTAGTATTTTTATTTTTCCTTCATGCTAGTGAAAGCACTTCAAGTTCTCTCATTATAAGGAATCATTCTTTCTTAATAACAACTAATTTGACCCTCATGTCGAGTGGGATATTCTTGTACTCATAACTCATTTCACTGTTTAGATTCAATCAAAAAATTTGTTTGAATCTATACTACCTTCAAAATCTGGTGAGTTGATCATCAGTCGAGCATCCTTGCTTCTCATTTTATATTCAATGTCAATTCGACGTGATATTTGTTGTTTGTCTTTTGAAGTTTCTTGGGGGAAGGGATGCACTTCCTTTTCTCGATTTGGTGAGTCATTGTTGTGGCTGTGTGGTTTCACAGGATCATCTGGTCTCAAATGCGGCAAGCTTCTGCTTTAGTTGTAGGATTTTCTTTTATGTCCTCCATAGTGAGACCTTAAGCACCTCGTTGCAGGTTTCTTCTTAGTGATGTGATGTTTTTTATTTTCAATTAGGTTTTCAGTGGTTTTAGGACTGTAAATCAAAGATTGATCGGAGACCTTGGTTTTTGAGAGTAGGTGTCGGGGAGATTTTTCGATGGAGATAGAAATGTTAGGTTTTAAAAGGGTTAGTTTAGTGCTGAAAACTATGGTAGGAATGGCTAGGGATTGAGTTGATTTGATCAATGATTTAGGTTATGCGAAATTTTGTGTAGGTTTAGGGACGATGGCGGTGTAGAAATGACAAATCCTTGAAGTTTTAGGTTTAGGGCCCGAAATTATGGTAGAAATAACTAAGGAGTGTGTTGATTGATGATTTAGATAATGTGAAATTTTGTGTAGGCTTAGCGATAAGGGTAGGTGTTGAAACGACAAATCCCTAAAATTTTAAGGTTTACGGGCTTTTATATTTGAAGATATTATTCTAGGGCACTTATAAGAGATATTGGGAGTGGATTTAAAGGAGAGGTTGTTGTGGAATAGCGAGGGGACGAGAGTATGCATTTAGAAGGGGATCGGTATCATTCGGCGATTGTCCCGACTGACAACTGCAAAGAGAGCTCCGAATTGGTGACCTTTGGGCAACAAGGAGGTTTCACCCCATGTTTTTAGGCATGATACAAATACATAGCTTGTAAAAGGAAAAAAGGATTCAACACTTCTTTGGGTAAAAATCAGATGTCACAATATCCAAAATACACAATCAAAGCAAAAGTCTAAAAAATAATAACTACCATCACAAATAGTCCCTTCATGGAAAATAAGCTAATTATAAATAGAGAAAATGGAAAGAAATTAAGAAGGAAAAAAAAGGCTGAATTAGAAGATGGTATTGTATTCCAAATCCCGTGATTGCAGGCTTCTCACAATCCTGTGGAAATGCTGGATGCCACGATTTGCGGAACCGTGGGATCCGGATCATAGTATCTCGCAAGACAGATGCTTGCAGATGGATTTTTTTGGTGTGTTTTCATTATGCAAATCATTAAAGTGAACTTGGACACAAAAGCCATCCTACATCACATTCTAGTTGTTAAACCGTAATATCTATACATATTCGATTGGTAAACGAACAAATTTGAATAACTCTTTGCGCTTATTATCATTAACAATATTACATAAGCTTGTGAAAACAGTTCATCAAGTAGCTCAAGGCTTGATGTATACCCATTTAAGAATTTTTTTCCCCTTATTTTGTTCATGAATTTGTTCACTTGTTTATTCTCCAAATTGCTTGCATTCAGAATGGGTATGTTCTTATTTTATAAGAAACAAACCACAAAAGGATTTTCTGCTTTTTGTCGATCCTTTAAATGGGTGCATGGTGGAAATCTCAACATCTATAATATGTACTCTTTCTAATATGGTTGCTTACAACAAAAAAATATCAAATTATTTAACATTTTTGCTGATCACTCAATTGAGAAAGATTTATTATCGTCTTCTACCGTGAGGTTTCATTCTTAGACTTCTAATCTTGCGATGGACATTTTCTATTAAAGCCTCATAGTTTGACACAAGAAATTCATGACTTTGATCAGGAATTTGTCCAACCTTATGCATTTCATCAGTTTCTCATACTAACCTGCTCAAAGATTAATTAAAAGATCAGTGTATCATTTTTCTAAATTCTTAGGATGCATATTTCAATCCTGCGACAGGAATTCCCTAATCATCAGTTTCTCATACTAACATGCTCAAAGATTAATTAAAAGATCAGTGTACATTTTTCTAAATTCTTGGGATGCATATTTCAATCCTGCGACAGGAATTCCCTAAATTTCTTGTAGAATTTTTGAATTTTTTGCCCGTTCTCCATTTACTTCATGCTTCTTTGCATTCTTCTCCATTCGTTTTCTGTTTTATTTTCTGGCCAGGCATTTCTGATCACAGTGCGCAACAAAAAAAGAGTTGGTTACACATACGAATTATCATTGAAATTCAAAGGTTCCGTAAGCAAATCATGTTCTGTTTTACTTGTCCAGGCTGCTGTTTTCTTTGCTGCTGCTGAGGTGATTTTTTATTACAAAATGTAGGTGAATGGTCAACTAACGACCAAAAAGAAAAGATTAAAGGCCACTTCGATATTCCAGAGTTTTCATTTGGTGAATTAGATGATTTGCAGGTTTGTAATTATCTTCCATTTTTCATTCTTTATTCTTATAACCATATCATCAACATAATGAAATATCTGATAGTTGTCATTTGCTCCCTCTTGCAGATAGAAACACGGATTAGTAGTGAAATTTCTAAAGAGGATAAAGCCCGGATCAGCAAGGATCTGCAGTCCTTCCTGGAACCAATTCGGAAGAAATTAGCCGCGTTTGAGCAAGAACTAAAAGATAGGTAGCATATTAACCATACTTAGGACTCCATTTTTTTTTAAATCAAAAGGTTTACTTGTATGTCCTTTAAGAACTATAAGAATTGTTTTGGAACCATAGTTTTAAGCTGGGTTTTGCTCTTTTCTGGGGTGGGGAATGAACACTGAATGATTTAGACATTTTTTACACTTGCTTGCTTTTAATTTGATGTCTGTATGAACATTTTAAACACGTTACAATTATTGTAGACCCACACGAGTATATTGGGCTTGGATGACACTAGAGACAATCTAATCTGATTTGATTATATAAATGAGTTGGATTTAAGGAAAAGATTTGCAGATTTGAGGAATTTGGCTATATGTTTCTCTTTTGTTTTGATTATAGCTACTATCATACTAAAATTTAATCATTGTCCAAGCTATTTTGATTTAAAGAAGATTGCTTTTTTTTTTTTCCCATTTTTTTAATTATTTTTATAATTCAATTTTAGAGGAATATATTTATGTTGGAGCATCATTAAAAGAGAAGCATAATAACAAGCTAAGTGTTGTCGAGATGAGAATGATTATGTGGATGAGTGGGTTTACACTTAGAGACAGAATGCAAAATGAATATATCCATGGTAGCGTTGGTGTAACTCCTGTGACGGACAATTAGAGAAAATTATCGTAGATGGTTTGATCACATTAAACGTCGATCATCTGATGAGCTTATTAGGAGAGTAGATGTTTTAGAGTTGTCTTATTTTAAGAAAGGCAGAGGTAGACCTAGGAAGACGGGCTTATTGTATAAAAAATAATCTTCATTTATTAGAATAATCTTCATTTATTAGAACTAAATGAAAATATGACACAAAATAGGATGCAATGGAGAAAAAAGATATATGTAGCCGACACGTGCTGGGATTAAGGCTTTGTTGTTGTTGTTGTTGTATATTTTATGCTGGAGCATAAAACATCCTAGTCTTTTTGGCCTCTGCCTATGGTTATCTTCGCCAATCGGATGCACCAATTTCACTCATAAGAATCATTTCTTCTGTGTGCCGTTGTATGAAATTTAATCATTTATCCTTTTGATATAAAATATAGGGGAATTTACATACATAGCACCAATTCTAAATTTACTTATCTGACACCCAAACTTTGATTTTTTACATGGTTAGCATCTTTTCGTATGCATGAAAGGGTGAAAATAGTGTAAATCACATTTTCATATATGGGTTAGGGTGCTTATCATGTAAAAATTAAAGCTTAGGTGAGGTAAGTAAATACATAAGAATTGGGTGCTCTGTATGTAAATTTTCCAAAAAATTAATTTGATTTATCGACGTAGAAATATTTTTATAGATTAAATCTCTTGCTGGCAGCTGTATATAATATTTTATATAAACTCAAATTTTTTATTTTCCTTTAATCCAAGCTATTTCTAAAATATTCAGGGCATGTTTGACATCTTTTTTATTATATGTTTATTTTCTTTTATTTTTTAAAATTATGTTTGGTTGATGATGTAATATAATATATGTTTTTAAAATATAAATAATAATAAATAATAAATAATAAAATCAAAAGTGGTTTCAGATGACCACCTAGTTTAGGAGGCTATGAAATTTGGCATAGCATTAAATTAACATGAATCTCTTATTAAAATATGATTGATGTGTGATCAATAAATTTGTTAAGTACAAATCTTGAGGTCTTTTTATCAAGCTTTGATTTCAGAAAGTTTATAGTTGAACGAATCGTCTCAAAAAGATGAAACTAATGATACCCAAATTAGTTCAATTCATGTTTAATGAAGCACATATCAAGCCGTTGAAGTTTATTTCGAGGCTTTATATCGTCAATTAAATGATTGCATGTATTCTAAATGCGAACTTAAAATTAAATGATCGTCAATTGAATTCTAACGTGCTTAAAAAGCTCAATTTTGTGGTCATTAAGGTACTAAAATCATTTTAAAAAAATTATTTTTAATTAAGAGGGTCAACATTGACAATCCGATCAGGTCGTTAGAGAAGCAACATGACAAAAGAACAAAATACCTCTCCGTAAGAGACTATAAATACTCTCTCACTTCATCTAAGGGGGAGAAGGAGCCAAATTCTAGAGACTATGCAGGAGAGAAGACCTGACGATAATCACCTGCCTCCATAGTCGTCGACAATTGCTCATCGGCAACCATTGACCATTCTCGACTGTTATCACCTACAACTATCATCCACCGACTGCCAACCACTATTTGCAAGTGTTGTATTCCAAATACGGTTGTTGCCTGTAACACCTGTATTTGAAGACTTGCAAAATAATCACCGACTTCCATAATCAAATTCTAAACCATGATCAAATTTTTAATAATAAATATTTTAGAGTCAACTTCAAGCCCATCTAGCGTCATGATTTTAATAAGTTTATAGTCAAATTGATAATCTTGACTAGAGGAACCCGATAGTTATAAGAATTGGTTCAGTGTGAATATAATCAAGCCCACATTGGGCCATTAAAACACTTTTGGAGGTTTTGGATTGTCAATTTAATGGTCAAATGGACACAAAATTTGATATTTTTATGGTTAAATTCAGTGTATGGACAAGAGGAATCTAATAAACCTAAGCTCGCTAAATACCAAGCTAACTAGGGCACTCAAGAATACGATGAAGAGCACAAAGAGCATCAACAACAAGCTAAGATACAAGAGCGTTCTTAGGCCCTATGGAGCTCCAAGCGTAAGGTGGTCATTATTGCAAACAACTGCCCTCCTCTTCAAAAGTCTGAAACTGAGTATTCTGACATTTAGATCAAGATTTAATTAGATTTGAGGTCTAAACTTCCTATGCGCTCAAGCCCTCCTTACCAGTTAATCACTTCTCAAGCTCACATGCAAGAGCGCTCTTTATTAACAATGGTTATGTTGTGCTCTGAGTGTTAAGTTGGGGATTACATCTATTTGACCTTTAATATTAATTTTGGATGGAGATTACTTCTATTAGAAGACCTACAAATATTCACCCCAGGTTTATAATTATCTCTTGGACAACGTAACCCATAGATGCTGACAAGAATCATCCTGTCAGGTTCGGTTGACTCTCCTCTGACTAAGTTGATCAGGGATCACAATGACCCGGAATGACGGAACCGTAAGATATTGATCGAGTTTCATTTTTATTTCGCCGCCATCAATTTTAAGCTTCAAGTGATATATTTTACTACTTAAAATCATATGTTGCTGCTATTATATATATTAAATATTTATTTAATAATGATTAGCATTAATCAAAAGTACTCTCTCATTATCGAGAGGGGTAATTAATTATAGGAGCTTGCGCCTATAAAAAACTCTGAACCCAAAATAAAAAATTAATCACAAAATGAGGATGAAATCTCAAGTAATATCGTATCTACTTTCCAATCTGCATTCTAAAATTTGACCATCTAAAACTCTCTCAACAAAATAAAAATTAAAAATACAGAGTTTTTTGAAGCACGGTTAAATTTGTCAGAGTCCACAACATCACTATTCATTGGTTGAAGTTTATCTTTTTTAAGTTACTAGAGATATTGAAATATTAGATATTCTCGAAGCACCACTACTTGAAACCATGCATGCAATGAGTTGTTAATCTAATTCAATTAAATTTGTTGATCATTAAATATAGTTGATAGTGTAATTCGAAAAAGAATTTGTTGATCATTAAACATAAATGGTAGTTTACTTCAAAAAAGAATCATTCCATAAAATCTAAATTCTTTTCTCTCAAGGACATGAGCAGTCTCATCAATTTGAATTGCAAATTGCATATTGCCAATATACAAAGAAAGAATAATATTGTCAAAACCACCCACCCACCATGCATGACAAACTCACATTCACATCACTAGAAAAAAAAAATCATAATGTTTAATCCAAAAAGATGCATTTTTTCTAATATGCAATCTAAAAATTATTAATACATTGCAATTAAATATATGCAAAATTCAATCATAAAATTTGGCCACAACTTTCAAGTTCTTTATCAACTAAACAAGTAGAATCCTTAACAGACAACTCAAAAATTTTCACTGGATTCAAAATACAATTGGAGCTAGTCTTCCAGTAGAAGACCAAAGGAACTGCACTAGCAACTCCACTAAACCAAAACATGGAATGCCCTTCACAAATTAGCCTACCAACATGTCTTAGATATCCTCCTTACCAAAAGCTCACTCTGATCACATATAGTTGGCTCCATTCCCTGCTCCCCAACAAAACCAGAACTTTAGCGCTGGATTCTGGAGAATAAGATTTAATCACTGGCCAACAAAAACTCTCACTACTTAATTTTTAACGGATCCCACAAATGCTGCAAGCTGGCGTTCGATCATCAGCGCAATATTTCGGGTAGGAAAAGATAACGAAATCGAGAGTCGTAAGGGATTACTCCGCAACTGCGAGAGCCCAACAAGCTGTATTTTCTCTGGGAGATGCATTGTTCTACAAAGCCTGCTTGTTGCTGAGTCAAGAATCCAGATATCCAGATTGGTAAGTTTGATTCATCAACAAATCCTCGAGTGAAAGCGTGGAGCATCTTTGGGATGAGAAGCTTCCTTTTGTTGCTCATCCCTACGGAAGCACGAATGAAGTCGCGCTGAGCTTGTTGGAGCTCTTCCTTCACATTTCCTGCACTGTAAACTTTTACCTGCGAGTCCAATGCTAATACACTTTTATTTTTCAAAACATTGACTGACTAAAGTATTCCTAACAACATTTATCTACAGCTTCTAATATGCAAAGTGGATACAGGTATTTCTTTTCAAATTTTAAAAATAATTAAAATATATATATATAGAAATGGATAGAGGTGAAGCAATATTACTGCAGGAGAAGAGAATGTTCCACAGCTTAGTGCAAATGTAACTAACGGCTCATACGTATCGATCGAACACCTCTTCTGCTCCTCAGATAGTTTCAACTTCTGAAGTGCAAGAAGTAACGCCTACGCAAAGCAATAAAAGTAGCCAACAATTTCAATTAAAATATCCTTATAAAATTATCACATAAAAAAGGGGTCTGCACAATCTATAGAGCATGTGCTTTACTGTTTGTGGCCTATGGATGGGTGGCTTCATCTTCAATACAACATACTCAATGCAAGCAGCACTGTATGAGTGACCTCCCACTATGTATGCAGCCTGTGAGGAACAAATATGATTAAAAATACTTCATACAACAGCTGAAAGTATCCAAAACAAAAACTAAAACACAAATTTGAGTAACAGTGAAAAATCTGTCAATGAGTGGGATGAAGTGTAATAATGATAATAAGAAGGGGCATTTATATGCATGCCACTCAATTTATATGTTTTTACGTATAAGTTTACTTATTACATTTATATACTCCAATTCTTTCATATCACATCAAAAATATCACTTCTTTAACTTTTATAAAGTGGAATATACCTTTTTATGCATGAGTAAGATGATATATATTTAAAAATTGAAGTTTAGGCGTTAACTATGTAAATACATAGAAATATGTGGTATGTATACAAGTCTTATTAATAAAAATCATTAAAAAGGTAGAATTATCTACATCTGAATCGCCACACTATTTCATGAAAAATAAATTTTCCAGTATTTTACTGCCAAGTACGCCGATTTTTTTTTTTCTATTCTCAAGGTTTATGGATCACAAGACAAAAAAGTGTTAGTTTACAGACTTGGTTATAATGGTTAAACATCAAAAAAGCCATAGTTAGTAAAGTTTGCAAAATGAACTGATTAATAAACTAATCATGAGGGTGCAGTCCTATTAATGTCTTCTTTAGCATTAGGTGAGACTGTATTTTATGATAGATGTTTTCATTAATAATAGCATAAAACAGGCTTCAAAGTTCAAACAATTAGACAGAGAACTTCAGGCTTTTGCCTTTTCTGTTTGGTTTTCTGATTCGTGCAGAGTGGGCACAATTTTTCATTACTAGAAAATTTTAAATAAATTAAATAATAACTAAACTATAAAAATTCAAATAAAACTTCAAATTTCAAAAACTTTTCATAAAGAGCACAATTTTTTGTTTTGTACAACAGTAGAGCGTTGAGATTTGCATCAATTTTCCTCAATCTGAAACTTTTTGCTTCAACAAATTGCTTATTTAGTATTCAACTAGTAAACATAAGCATGACTGAAGCTTCCAGCAAGGAAATTCATTAGTAATCACATGCAATTTTGTCCACCAATGCGCAAGATACCTTTTAACACACTTTTAATAGTGTACACAATAATAACATTTATTTTTGTTTCTAGCAAAAAAAAAAAAGTTATTGTATGGACAAGTATTGGATGAAAAGAGATAAAAGAACAAAGTCCAACACATTGGTTTGGGGTTCATGTCTTCATGATATGAAGTAAAATCAGATGCTTTCTACTTTTTTTACCAAGCATTCGATCAATACATTGTTTGATTAAATGAGTCCATTCTTCAAACTCTTAATTTCTATGAGTTCTCAAATGAATTTTTCAGAGTTAAGCAAGCCATTTAGGTACCATCAGATTTAAGTTTCACATAGCCATTGTTCTGATTTGCAAGTTATCATAATAAACGTCAAATTTCTTATAAGATATTATGATAAAAACTCGAGCACCAATACCAAATATGATGTAGAATATAAGATTTTGTTAATCAAAATCTACAACAAGATGCAAAATATCATGTAAACATGCATTGATTTGCATATCACAAACTTTTAATTTGGTAACTATTCATTACTTCAAAAGAAAGTTGTTGAATACATAGCAATCGAACTCTAATAATAATTTAATGGCATTGTAATATAAAGAGAACTTGTAAAACAGTAATTTTATCAAAATTAAATGGGCAAGCTCAAACCAATAACAAAAGTTCAAGGAAATAGAAAATAAAGATGAAGTCACCAAATCATGCCTTCATTTGTGCATGAGAAAACCACTCCCACAAATCCAAGTCTCCCTCTTATCAAGAAGGAATAAATAACATGCTGACCAAAAGATTGTTAGAAAATAGCTTTACTCTTCCTTTGCATGCCTCAAAACCCCTTTTATAAACACAAAGTATATTGATCTCTTTATCTAATTCTGAAACCCCTTAAGTAAAATGAAGCTAAACTCTTAAACATTGAAGTGCTTTCTGGTATAACAATAATTTCATTAGAAACTCTAAAGTTAAGCATGCTCACATGGAAGCAATCTTAGGATGGGTGACCTCTTGGAAAGTTACACGAACGAGGCAAAACCGTGAGGCCATTCAGCCAAAGCGGAGAATAGCTTGATGGGTGAGAGTTCGAGCTATCACAAATGGTATCAGAGCATTGCACCATTTAGAAGATTAAGAACTAAATATCATTAAAAAAAAAAGTGTGCGTTATGGGAGCCACGTCTCGAAACCTAGATGAGATAAAGTGCTACATAGTGGGAGCCACATCTTTAATTTGAAGTGGTCACCTCTAGAGTTCTATCTTCCCAGTAGATAATTTTGGGTATAGACACTAAAGAAGACAGAGTATTTAAGTGAGGGAGATTGTAAAACCTCTTAAGTAGAAAGAAACTAAACTCTTAAATATTGAGGCGCTGTTCAATGTAATGGTGAAATCTTATTAGAAACTCCAAACTTAAGCGTGCTCGCATGGGAAGACTCCCTAGGATGGGTGACCTTCGGTGAAATTACACCAATGGGGCGAAATTGTGAGGCCATTAAGCCAAAGGAATAATACCTTGATGGGTGAACATTCAGATTGTTACACTAAAACTCTCAAATTCCACACAAAATAGGGAACCTGGATATGAATTGTGATGCTCACAAAATCTATCAGAATAGATTACCAAAAAATCCAAAAAATAAGAATATTCATAAGAAAATCCTCAAGTTTAACATAACTAACAAAAAGGATGAAAGACTAGCTTATCCGTAGGGACAACACACCAAATCACTTCTACCATGAAACAATGGCAACAACTTCCAAACTAAATCGCTAAAAATAAAATACAAATCTAGAAATCCTCCAAAAGAAATATATAAAATAATACAAAAATCATATATATATATATAGGAACCAACAAATTGCTAGAAATCCACTGCCAAACTCCCAGTTACAACCCAATCCATCCACAAGCTTCCATAGACAAGTCTATTGGAACAAAATAACCTCAAGTGAATCAAACCAATCCCATCACAATAAACAAGTGATGTATGAGCAACAAAACGCAGTCTAAAAAAAGAATTGCCAACTATTATTTGATCGAAGCTCAATTACGAATGACAGCAATCCTTAGAACAAAGAACCAATGATAAGTAAAACTTCTAAAATAATTGCTACACGACTTAAAAAAATCAGCCTTAATTATTCTTAACACATATTTTGATATTTGCACCAATTGTTCGAAGAAAACCATTGGCATGTGAGTATATTTCATCTATGGGTATGTAGCGTGAGAACATACCTTTTGCATCAATGCGAAGAGCTTCATATCACTCTTAGGAACACCATATGCAAGATAAGCCTAGAGAAAAATACTTAAGTAAAAAAACAGCATTTTGATTTAGATTGCCAATGATAAATTTCTAATTTCCTGGAAAAATAAAGGTAGTATTGTTAAGCAGCCATAGAAACTGGAAAAAATAATTTAGTGCCATACATGCATAATGAGTGCGTTGTACAAATTGACCCAGAAGGCTAACTTCTCAGGGTAGCTAAGATGAATAGGGTTTACTTCAGTCAACTGCTCAACAAGTGATCTGTCAATATAAGGAATATTCGAGTAAAAAATCGAAACAAATTAATAGTCATTCCATTAAAAAAAAAGGGTCTCCTAGTAATAAAGTGGTAACCTAGAAATCCTTTTTGAGAGAATTTGCTTATCTTTTATGTGTTAAAATGCTAACATATGGTAATAGAACTTGGAGGAAAAAAAAATAAAAATTAATGCAAAATGATGACCAAAAAAGCTCAGTTGAACAACTAAACAAGTATAGGACCACGCATAGGATCTCATGAAACAGCTAATTTGACTGCTCTACAATGACCTATTTATTGAGGTGCACTCGACATGAAATATTAAGAACAAAGACAGATAAAAAGGAGGGCAACAAGAATCCAAATAAACTTCTGCTTACTAACGCTATCAAAGCCTTCGATGTATGTAGAAGGAACACACTCTACTACTATTTTACAAATACATACCAGTCCTTTCCTCCCAAGTTCCAATAATCAAACGAAATATGCCGGTCACAGCAAAAATAATTCACACAAAAAAATATTCGTGTAATTCAATTTATAATAATAACATAGTAAAAGTAGGCCTACATGATATGTAGAATCTAATGAGATAAAGCTAAAAAATCCCAAAAAAAGGATTTAATATCATAGGTAGAGGTTGTAGGTAGAATTAAAACGGGTTGGTTCGGTGACACATTTGTTGTAATTTTGCAGGCAGAACTAGACAAAAGCATTTGATCAAAAATGATACAATGATTAGAGACAACCTGAACACCTTTAATAAATCAGAAGCAGCTTCAAGTTGTTTCTTCTCCACAGACATCCACGAAACCTCTTTTACTAAACTATAATTACCAATATCGATCCAACTCAATTTTTCGCGGACTTTATATGGATCAAAAACGCCTCCGGTAGTTAAAACATCATTGTTGTATTGAATATCCACCTGAGAACTATGTCTCCATGAGGAAATTGACGTCAGCTCAGATAGTGGCCAAAAGGTTGGAATGTGCCCTTGTGGTGACGAAGAAGAACAAAAACTCTCTGGTGAAGAAAATGTTGAGGGAAAACTATGGCAATTTGCCAAGGAGATGAATATATCTTTCATGCAACGAACTATCTCCTCAGAAAGCTTATTAGGATGGAGGTGATTCAAAACACCTTTAAGAGGTACTCGTTCAATTGCTGCGAACTGTTGAATCAATTCAGTAGGTCCCTCCTCTTCTTCTAGAGCCAAATCATCCAAAGTTGCCTGATGAAGAATGTAGTTGGTATCAAATTAAATTGCAAGTATACTAGATTATTTTTGTCAATGAGTGTTCGTAACATTAAACATTATATCAACAGGTTAAATGGTACAACTATACAAAACAATAGGTGAAATTCAAACACAAAGGAATTAACTAGTGTAACAATAAAAAGCAATAGCAAAATTTTAAAAGCAGAAAGAATGTATATAGCATGCAAACAAGTGCAAAGAACAATTTTTTAGAATTGGCATAATTACCAACTCATGAAAAACTTTTTTCTTCTTATTTTATGAGCAAGATGTTTCTATATCACTTGAAATTATTGGATTGTAAGTCATGAGCATGATGGAATGGATTTGAGCTAGAGTAAAGTTAATGGTAAGTCCTTTGGCCTTGTTTCATTTTTTACTGTGTTTGTTTTACTTATAAATGAAAAGGCAGTGCTCAATTTGGTCAAATAGAAGCATAAGCATTGTTTCTACAAGATTATAAAACAAAAGTTTAATTTTTATCATGCAAATTGGTAGTTGATTCAATCTCACAACACAAACCTTTGATAATCTTAATTTTAGATTAATTTAAATTAAATAATATAGGTATATTAAATATATTAATTATCCTTTATTAAATAACTAGTCATATTCTTAAAATAAAACTAAAATATGCATTAAAATTAACTTTATTAATTATTATGCACAATTGAATAATTCATAAGGTTAATAATGGTTTAAAGTTGGATTTTAAATTGTTAGATAATCATAGATTAACTTATATTTGATAAGATTTCTATGAATGTTTTAAACAAATTATTCTGCAAACAGAATATATTTTCATACATTAACAATTTCAGTTTTAACAAATTGTTATTTTCACTTAACAATTTCATCAACATTCACACATTAATAGAATAAATTAAAAGGGATGTAAATCCTAATATAAGCTAGATGATGCAAGATGAATAAACACATTTACAAAAAAAAAAACCTGATGAATTATTTTATTTGGATAGTTATTAAAAACACTAGTAGGGTATGTAAATCCATTAGTTAAAAAAAGTATTTCACCCATAAAAAGCTTTTGAAAACACTGTCCGACAAGTTTTAATGCCCTATTTAACATAAAATTTGGGCGATAAAATAAGCTATGTTAGACCCCATAAATCAATGTGACCATGTGTACCTCATTAATGATTTAATGATAATAAATCTTATATAATATCATTTGACAATTTGCTAAGTAATCCATAGACTATTTGAGTACTACCTAAAGCATGGAATTGATGCCACCATACATTAAGCTTGATTTGATCCTGTGCAACTTGCAATAGAATACAATACAATTTTTTAGAAAAAGGAAGTGCGCAAATGAAGACTTCCGATGACAATAGCTTAGTGTTTGTAGAAGCTTAATTGTTACAATTGAATTTTGTAGTAAAACATGAGACCTCAATGATGAATAGCACACTAATTAAAATTGATGAAAGTTTCTTATATCTAAATAAAAATTTCAATAAATATATTTTATCTATGAGAGAAATATGAATAGAAATGAGAAAAAAATGAAAAGAGGCTTGTCGAAGTAAATGATTTTGCCAATTGGATATAACGAAAATCTTTATATGGAAGACCACCACCATCAGCTTTAAAAACATAGATCTCAAAGAGTGCCTCTTCTTCCTCAAGAACTTACGCGAACTTTATCGAACATTAAAAAATAAAGGTTAATTTCAAACACAACAAACATATGCTATAGTAAACTGCTATCAATTTTAAAAAGAAAGTAAAAGGATCAAAGCAAATGTGGTAAAGCTGGACAAACAAATAAGAATAAAGCGAATAAAAATAATGATCACAAAAATATTAAGTACAGAAAAAATAATTATCAATTGAAAAATTAAATTTCGCCATATAATGCAAATCAAGTCTATATGACAGACAAGATTACGCAACTTTTTTTTTTTTTTGTTCTTTTTCAACATATGACTTTTAAGTGTGTAAAACAGCTATAAGCAATATAATAAACCATAGATGTTGAGTTGAATATTGTAGGGACCTTTACCTGTGCAATGGGGTACATAATCTGTAGTGATCCTGGCAATTGCTTCAACTGATATTCAACAAGCCTTCTCTCATTTCGTTCTTGAATGAGCTGAAAATTTAAATAGATCATCTCTTCCTCAAGTTTTCCTACAGTATTCTTTAACGTTGTAATGTTACACAAAAGTTCTTGCGCCTACAGGTAGCATTAATCACGAATTAGGAGGTGATAGCTTCACTGAATAGAGTAAATAATATAAAAAAAATTGACTAATCCAGTTTCAACAAAAATAGTGCCAAAATGCTTCGGGATAAGAATATTGTTAGTAGGAATCAAAAGAAGAGATATATGTGAAAAACGTTTTTGAAAGGAAAACCCATTAAAATGTTTAATAGTTTGGTCAAACAGATGTTACAATTAAAAAAAAAAAAAACTATACAAAATTCTTCTCTGTAATTTCTATTAACAACTTACTTCCAAAAGGTTCAAATATTAGAAAATATCAAAGAAAAGCAAAACAATATAAGAGAAAAAGGTTTTTGAGAGACAAAATTTATATATTACATGTGCGCATAAGCAAGTGAGTATAAGCATATAAGCATTCATGTATTGTTAAGCGATGACAGTTTCAAGGACCTGCCAGATGAAAATGTGAAAAAAATTAAATAAACAAGAACATAACTCAAAATATCTAATAAGTAATGATATCCATGGTATTATGGCACCTAGCTTGTAATCTAGTCATTATTAGAGATTGGCGATAATCATAACTTATTAATATTATTTTAATTTCTCAATTAACAGGGACATGCATCTAATTTATCAAATTGGATATTCATGATTTTAATTAATAAAGTTTTTATTTAATTTTGCCTTTTCAATTAAAAAGTAATTAATTAATATTAATATCCTAAATAATCAGTAACTAATGGTTTATAATGCAAATTAAATATAATAAATTCTATTTAATCAAGTTAAAGCATAAATAATATTAATTTGTTTAAAAATGTCTTTTTAGTTCATTAATGCAAATTATTAAAATAAGTTTTAATTTTAATTTAATATATCTTATTTAATTAATTTTAGTTAACATAACTTATCAAATATTAACCCTCATCTTTGCCCACAACTTTCACCTTCTAAATTGTACCTATGAAGTTGCAACAGAAATCCACTAAAGAAGATATCAACAAGAACAACAGGGTTAACGGTATAAACCAGTCGAGCCAAGTTAAATAACTAACTCAAGCTCGGATCACCTACTAAAATGCAAGATCGAGCTCAAGTTGGAGCCTAAATCTAGATAAAAAAAGTGAGCTCAAGCTCACCTTATAACAATAACAATGGACTCAAATTGCCACAGGATCATCTCATCGATAAAGGCATTGAAGTGACCAATGGCTGAAGCACTCGATACTTAAAAAAATGGTTCTAAGACCTTTACTTATTCATTTTAAAAAAATAAAAAAACAAAGAGAGGTAAGAGAACCAAAGAAAACTAAAGATTAGACGACGTTAAATGCAAATGTAAATGGTCTAAAGGAAGCTATTCGTATTTAATGCTTTACATTGTGGTATATATATGTATATATAGCTCATCTGAGAATGCATCAAAATGATCAGTTGCTAGACATCAAGCCAACTCATGAACGAAAGAGCTAAGCCACATCAAACCAGAACTCAAGCTCTTTTAATATACAAACTCAAGTTTGAGCTTGAGCTAAGGCTCGTGGCTCAATAAACTCGCTAGTGAGTGTTGTGGTATATAGAAATAAAACGATTGACGGCGAAGCGAATAAAATAGCACGATAAAATTCACACCAGAAAACAACACAGTGGAACACACAGATTTACGTGGTTCGGCAAAATGACTACATCCACGGAGTAGTTGCAGAGAATTTTATTAATTAATTTTATTAATTGAGGAAATTACACTGTCTGATCAAGTCGATAATTACAAGAAAAAATTTCTTAATTCCTCTCTCTCTATATCCGAGAGCCACAACAGAAGACACATTCAAAGAAAGGAACACCGACAATTCCTTCTTTTTGTCTTCACCTCAAGCAAGAACTCATTCCTGCCTTCACCGCAAGAAAGAACTCCTTCCTGTCTTCAACGCAAGCAAGAACTCCTTCCTTCCTGTCTTCCGTAAGCTAAACTGAAGGAATACCTCACCTCCTTCCCGTCTTCCGTAAGCTAAACTGAAGGAATACCTCACCTTGGTTCGGTCACAAGAGACAAATCCCGATTCCAACTGCAGCAATAGGACCAGGCGAGGCGGAATGCAGCGAAAGCGGAAGTTGTTTCTTAAGGAGAGGGAGTGGGGGTGGTTGCGGCATTTTATTTTTATTTTTATTTTTTTCGTTTTCTTTTAACGGGCTCCACACCAACAAATCTCTCACTTGAAAATCGGTGCACAGACTACAACGTCTTCTTCCTCAAACTGATATCCTCCACCTCTGCAACTCAAAGTCTCAATTTTCAAGCTAGAAAATCAACTGAAGCAACACACAACTTCAGTTTCTCCAGAGTAACACCATTTGTCAACATATCAGCAGGGTTCTGGCTTCCACAAATTTTCTCAAGAAATAACTGTCTGTCATCCAACAATGACCGTATGAAGTGATACTTGATTTGAATGTGCTAAGTCCTGGACTGAAATGCTGATTTCTGGCTGACTATCATTGTAGAGTATGCCCTTCTGATCCTTCTTGCCTAATTCTTTCAAGAAACTTTGTAGCCATATCATCTCTTTTGCAACCTTTGACACTGCTATATATTCAGTTTTTTTGGTAGACAATGAAATTGTCTTTTGCAGATTAGAGCACCATGAAACTGCAGTGCCACCAATAATATAAATATAGCCTGTAGTACTTCTGGTATCAATGTCTCCAACTAGATCAGCATCAACATAGCCCTGTACCTCTGAACTCTTTCCTGAGAAACACAAGAAAGTTCCTGCAGAGCCTCTTAGGAACCTCAAGATCCACTTCACTGCTTCCCAATGTTCATTTTCAGGATTACTCATGTATCTGCTAACGACTCCCACTGCATGGGAAATATCTGATCTGATGCAAACCATAGCATACATAAGTGAACCAATAGCTGAAGCATAAGGAACCTTACTCATGTGATCTTGTTCCTCCTTTGGCTTGGGTGACTGATTCTTGTTGATTCTGAAGTGACTTCCCAAGGGTGTGTCAACTGATTTGGCCTTATCCATGTTGAACCTGCTAAGTACCTTTTTCACATACTCAGCTTGAGAGAGTCTCAACATGCCTCTGACTCTATCTCTCTGACAATTCTCATACCAATTATTTGTTTTTCCGCTCTCAAATCCTTCATTGCAAAGTGTTTTGACATCTGCACCTTCAGATTATTGATCTCCTCAATATTAGCACCTGCAATAAGCATATCATCCACATACAACAGTAGAATGATATAAGAATTGTCAAAATACCTGACATAGCAACAGTAATCTGTCTGACACCTGTTGTACCCTGCACTGTGCATGAAATTATCAAATTTCTTGTACCACTGTCTAGGAGCTTGCTTCAGGTCATACGAGCTCTTCTTCAATCTGCAAACTGACTCTTCCTTTCCCTGTACCACGACTCTTCAGGTTGGTGCATGTAGATGTCTCCTTCAAGATCCCCATGAAGAAAGGCTCTTCACATTTAACTGCTTAAGGAAGAGATCTTCAGTAGCCACCATAGACAGTATCATTCTGATGGTTGTAAGCTTCACCACAGAAGAGAAAATCTAGAGACCACAGAAGAGAAAATCTCGGAATAATCAATACCGTGCTTCTGCTGAAAACCCTTTACAACAAGTATAGTCTTGTACCCAGTACACCCACTTGTTATGTAATGTTTTCTTCCCAGATGGAAGATCTACTGATTTTCTAGCAGAGCATCTATCTCCTCCTTCATGACTAGCTCTCACTTGCTCGAATTTTCATCTTGCAAGGTTTCTTCATAACTCTGAGATTCTTCACCATCTGACAGCAGAATGTAGTTCAAAATTAAAGAATAATGCTGTGGAGAACGTCTAGCCCTTTCTGACCTACGAACTGCAACTTTAGGGGTAGACTGCTCTGAAACTGACTATGGAACAATAGGAGTGGATGCCCCAGATCCACTCTCCTCGTCACCTGCATCTCTGTCCTGCATTGTGACCTCTGGTAAATCATCAAATCTTACCAACTCAGATTCCTTCAGTGTTGTTTCAGAAACTGTACTAGACTTGTCCTTGTACATAATCTTCTCATTGAAAACCACATTTTTGTTCCTTATGATCTTCCGACCCTGATCAACGATATCCAAATGCCCAAATGCTCATATCCACAACCAATGAAATAACACTTCCTTGACTTACCCTCAAGCTTACTTCGAGTATCAAAATTAATGAGAATATAAGAAAGACAATCAAAAGTCTTAAGGTGAGAAAATTTTACCTTTTTCCCACTCCAGACTTCTTCAAATAATTCACATAATAATTCACATTTTAATAGGACATATGCACCCTGTTGATCAAATAAACTGCAGTACTGATCGCTTCTACCCAGAAAATAGGTGTTAGTCCGACGTGCAATCTCATGTTTCTAGCCCGATCATTAATGGTTTTGTTCATGCGCTCTGCAACACCATTTTGTTGTGGTGTTCCTGGAACCCCGAGCTGCACAGTACTCCTTGAACCCACCATCAATATACTCATCACCATTATCAGACCTCAGACATTTCAGCTTTAAACATGTCTCTGTCTCAACCATGGCCTTCCAAGTCTTGAACACACTGAATACATCAGATTTAAACTTCAAGAAATAAACCCATACATTTCTGATATGATCATCAATGAATGTGACGTAGTAACGAGAGCCTCCAAGAGATGCCACTGGAAAAGGTCCCCACATATCGGTGTGTACAAGATCCAGCTTTCCTGTCTTTGGCTTCCTATCACCTTTCAAGAAACTAACATTCCTCTGCTTCCCCATAATGCAACTCTCACAGATGCCGAGATCAACTGACTTCAGTCCTGATAGCTTACCCCTGGACTGAAGCTCTTTCATACCTCTCTGACTCATGTGGCTAAGTCTACAATGCCACAACTCTGTTGTCCTCTCTGCAACAGTAGTATCAACATTGTTAATTAAATCAGTAGTCATATATAGCGTACTTATTTTCCTACCCCGAACTAGTACCGGTGCTCCTTTAGTAACCTTCCAAGTGCTATCAGAGAACACTATTGAATGTCCACACTCATCAAACTGCTCCACAGAAATGAGGTTCTTCTTCAGTTCAGGAATGTATCTAACATTTTGCAAAGTCCATTTGTTCTTGTTTGGAAGTGCAATGTCAATATCTCCCATTCCTATCACGTTCAGTGTTTCTCCATCTGCAAGATATACTTTCCCAAAGTCACCTGCAACATAATTCCGCATCAATTCCCAATGGAAAGTTGTATGGAAAGAAGCTCCTGAATCCAGTAACCAGTCATCAACAGGACTATGAACTGCCAGCAGTAGTGCATCCTGTGATTGTTCAGTTACCACATTCACACCGTCATTCTCCTTCTTAGGATTCTTGCAGTTCCTCTTTATGTGGTCAGTTTTGTCACAATTCCAACAAGTTATTTGTTTATCATGTCTTGACTTGCTCCTGCTTCTGTTCTTTGATTTTGTTTGTTTATCATGCCTTGACTTGCTCATGCTTCTGTTCTTTGATTTTGATCTTCCTTTGTTTGAGTTCTTGTCATGTAATCTCCCTATGAAATTAACATTTAGTGTCGAACTCGAACCTGAGATCTCGTCAGAATCTTTACTGCGCACCTCCTCAGCCAAAATCAAATCACGAATATCTTCAAATTTCAATTTAAATTTACCTGCAGAATTACTGACAGCTATCTTCATAGCTTCCCAGCTATTTGACAATGAAGTCAACAAATCAGTGCACGTATCTCATCATCAAATTCAATTTTCACATATGATAATTGATTTATGATGGTATTAAAATCATTCAGATGTTGTAAAATAGACGCATCTTCAAATTGAATAACTTCTTCATAAGATATATTTTGTTATTCGCCGATGGCTTTTCATACATACTTGACAGTACTGCCATAAAATCTGCAGTCCTCCCTTCCTTGACGACATTGTGTGCAACGGAACTCAGTAGGGTCAATCGAATAACCCCCAAAATTTGTCGATCCAACAATTACATTCAGCCTCATCCATACTTTCAGGTCTTTTCCCCAATAACAGAAGATGTAGTTTCTTCCCATAGAGGTAGTCTTCTATCTGCATCCTCCAATAACCAAAATCCGTGCCATCAAATTTCTCGATCCCTGAAACTTTCACTTCATTTGCAATCATTTGCTCTGATACCAGTTGTTGTGGTATATAAAAATATAACGATCGACGACGAAGCGAATAAAATAGCACGATAAAACTCACACTAGAAAACAACACAGTGGAACACAGATTTACGTGGTTCGGCAAATTGGCTACATCCACGGAGTTGCAGAGAATTTTACTAATTAAGGAAATTACACCGTCCGATCACGTCGATAATTACAAGAAAGAAATTTCTTACGTCCTCTCTCTCTATATCCGAGAGCCACAATAGAAGACAAGTTCAAAGGAAGGAAACACCGCAAGCAACAATTCATTCTTTCTGTCTTCACCTCAAGCAAGAACTCCTTCCTGCCTTCACCGCAAGCAAGAACTCCTTCATGTCTTCAATGCAAGCAAGAACTCCTTCCTTCTTGTCTTCAACACAAGCAAGAACTCCTTCCTTCCCATATTCCGTAAGCTAAACTGAAGGAATACCTCACCTTGGTTCGGTCACAAGAGACAAATCCCGATTCCAACTGCAGCAATAGGACCAGGTGAGGCGGAATGCAGCGAAGGCGGGAGCCGTTTCTTCAGGTGCAGGAGTGGGGGTGGTTACGACATTTTATTTATTTATTTATTTATTCATTTTCGTTTAACGGGCTCCACATCAACAGTGAGATCATTACCGAGTATAGTTTAAGCTAGCTTGACTCACACTTCAAAGTAATGTGTGATGAAGAAGAGTTAATGAGGCTTGTTGATTTGTTAAATACCCGAATGACAAGATTTACTAATAAAATTTAAAATAGTTATTAGTAACCTTTAACAAGAATTAGCATAAATGCCCCCTAAATCTTACTAGTAATTAGTCCCTGAGAAATACAGATACGCTGATGAAATTGATTATTTCGAGATATTTTCCCTGTTGCTTGGTTTAATTGTGTCAACATACATAACCGGCAAGATTAATTAAGGATTAACCTCACCCCTAATGAATATCTACAACCCATATCTATTGAAAACTATTTAAATATGCTTGATATGTAGCAACTTCATAAGTACGTTGCTAAAAAAGACAGCATTTGTAAGCTTCCAAAAGCCATATATGAATTGAAACAAAGTACTCAAGCCTAGTTTAATAAACCACGCAAAGTTCTTAGTAATATTCGTGTTTGAAGTAGCATAACTTTTAGTAATATTAGTCTTTGAAGTAACACCTATACTTCACTTTTTTTTATTTTTTTACCACCAAATCTTTCATATTGCATCAGAAATACCACTATTATAACGTTATCGATAAAAAAGAGGCGTATATGTAAAAATTGAAGTTTAGGTGTTACATATGTAGATACATAGGAGTGAAGTGGTATGTGTATAAATCGTTCAAAAAGGATTTCAACAGCTTATGATTTAACTTCAAACAACATCATGAAACAAGAACACGATATGATTCTTAAAATGGCCAAATTTTAATGTCTTAAAAGTAACGAGCAATAACAAAAGCATTTAAAACATACATCATTTGGGAGGCATGATAGATCAGACAGTTCAAATGCAGCATCCTCTACAGCCTTTTCAAGAACATCGTGCAACTTGATCTCCTCTTGCAGCAATAGTTGTAGATTCAGAACCTGAAATTTATGCCAAAAACCCAAGAAACAAATGAGGCATTTAAAAAAAACTATTTTTTTTACTTATCATGCTACGACGAAAAAGAACTAAAGAAATAAAACTTACATCCTTTTCCAGCTGGAATATGGAATGATCTCTGGAATTTTCCCTCCCAGCCATGAACTTCAGAAGTTTCAGTGTGATGTTATTTTCAGTTCCACGGAACAGGGAAAGGGCAGCACACACCTTCTCAAGTTATAAAGGTCGGTCTGCATCTATCCTTCGCATCATACTCCCTGCTTGTAAGAACTAATAGACTTGAAAGAATTCATCTTCACGTGACTTGTAAGAATAAAATACTAATTTAAAAGAATCCCTGCAGACAAAGCAATGAATATATATTTTTCAAGGTGGTAGAATGGCTTCCTGAAATAGGTGGACAGAAACAAGCCCCAACGAATAGCTCAAAGGATGTATTCGATCAAATAATGCAACAAAAGCCGAATAATCATTAACAAAAGCAACCTCATTACATCAAATCCTACTGATTTTAATAGAAGACAACACAGAAAAGTGGAATATAAGCTTTATTGATGCGAGCTGTCATCACATAAGAGAAGAAAAACAAAGGAGAAATCTATTCCTTATTTGGAGGTCCCGATTCATCCGAGAAAGAGTTTCAACTTTTTACGTCTCTGATTTCCCCCTTTGGCGTGACACGAAGCGGCGCAAAATTAACCAGGATAGCCCTGAAAACAAGCGCAAAAAGAAGGAAAAAAGCATGAAACTAACCAGTAAACCCTCACAATGCCAGGAAGCTGAAACCATGACCAGCGGTTGAGTTTCAAGCAGAGTGAAGATAGTCCACACTTCTTACTCCGCGCACAAATTAGCCCATGGATTCAAATTTCAAAAAAGGGGCGGGTATGGTGAAAAATCATCATAACAGAATCTGATGAAGAAATCTCGACCTAATACTTCCAAAAGGAAAAAAAAAAAAAATTGTTTTGATGACAATGTCGTCAGCTCGGAGACAACTTGCTGCCAAACACGAACAGATTTTCCCTCGCTAGAACGGATTGCAAAACTTGAGCTTTTTAAGTTTCTCTTGGTGTTTTATTTAATTTTCCCTAACAAATTTGAGGTTTTGCAGAGGTTCGATTTCCGATAGTAGGAAGTTGTCATCTAATGCTGGATCTCTGGCGCTGCACCACACTACCTTGAATTTTGCTGTCCGCACGTCACCTCATGCCACGTATCTAGGATGAAACGTGGCGAAATGGCGTAGACGGTGAGATCAGAACTGCAGTATGAAAAAAATTTGCGTTTTGAATTTGAGCGGCTTGCAGTCGGGCGTTGATCGCGCATGGGTTGGTGAGCGGTGCCACCCCGGCTGATAACGACGCACGCAGGAGAGAATATATTGTTTACTGTTTACTGTTGACTTTGAAAATCAGAATTGAAGAGTTTGCTTGTACAAAGTAAAATTTGAGATTCAATTTGATTAATTTTATTGTGTTTGAGCTCAAGCTGCATCTTAAATTTAGAAGTTTATTTATTATAAAAGAGATAAAAATAATATTAATTTAAAATAATGTTATAATAATATGAAAAATAATAACAATTTACTTAATATGAAATATAAAATATTATTTTATAATTATTTTTTAAATAATTTTAAGATAAAATCATCAAATTTACTATATTTTCAGTATATTTTATATTAATATTTTTTTAAAAGAGCCGACACACGGGAGTTAATGAGACAAGTCGGGGCTAGCTGAGCTTGGCTTGTTTGCTCATTGACCTAAGTCCACAAGCCAGTAGTCGAGCCGGCCCGCCCACTCCGCGAGCCGCTCTGCGACACACTTACACTCCTAATTTTTAGTGTTAGTGTGGAGACAGTTACACGAAAAAAAAAGGATGGCTCATGTTCCCGCTCCCGTCCGCTTACTCCCACGACTGCCTTCCCGATACCGCCTTCTCTCTGTTGCGAACTGAATTGTTATCGCGAATTAGGCTTCTCCCTCTTTTGTTTCTTCTTCTCTCGCGACAAGAAAGCAAGACATCGTGTTTTCGCGGGATTGCAAGGTTGCAGTTGGTGCTTTGCTAGTGTGGCTTACTGGTCAAAGAAATCTCCGACAGAAAGAAAAAGGTGTTTTTCGCAAGGTGGTCTCTCTTAGTTGTTTCTGCGTGTTTGGCAGAAGGAAGAAAGAGATAGTAGAAGAAGAATGTTGCTCTGCTTGATTTCTTCTTGGTGGCTTGTGACAGAAGAGAAATAGTTTTTTCAGTTTTTTCTCTTGTATGTTCTTCTTCTTCTTCGGTGTATCTCAGTATAGAGAGGAGAAGAGAGAGTGAGAAAGTGAGAGACTTTCTCTTGTAATTGTCGTTGTGATCAAATGGTGTAAATTCCTCAATTAGTAAAATCCTCTGCAACTCCGTGGATGCAGGCAATTTGTCGAACCACGTAAATCTGTGTTCTTTTCTGGTGTGTTTTTTCTCGTTATATTTTTCACTTCATCGTCGAACGTTTTAAATTTCATATATACTACAACAACTGGTATTAGAGCTAATGACTGCGGAAGAAGTGAAGGTTTCAAGGATCAAAAAATTTGATGGCACAGATTTTGGTTACCGGAGGATGCAGATAGAGGATTACCTCTATGGGAAGAAGCTTCATCTTTTGTTATTGGGGAAAAGACCTGAAAGAATGGATGAGGCTGAATGAAATCTGTTGGATAGGCATGTTCTTGGGGTTATTCAATTGACCCTATCGAGGTCTGTTTCACACAACGTCGTCAAGGAGAGGACGACTGCAGATCTTATGACAGCCCTATCAGGTATGTATGAAAAGCCACCGGCGAATAATAAGTTATATCTGATGAAGAAGTTATTCAATTTGAAGATGGCGGAATGTACGTCTGTTGTACAACACTTGAATGGTTTTAATATTATCACAAATCAATTATCTTCTATGGAAATTGAATTTGATGATGAGATACGTGCATTGATCTTGTTGGCTTCATTGTCAAATAGTTGAGAAACTGTGAGGATGACTATCAGTAATTCTACAGGTAAAATAAAATTGAAATTTGAAGACAAATTTGAAATTTGAAGATATGCATGATTTGATTTTGGTTGAGAATGTGTGCAGGAACGATTCTGGCGAGATCTCATATTCAAGTTTGACAATGTGTGCATGAACGATTCTGGCGAGATCTCATATTCAAGTTTGACATTAAATGTTGATTCCAGAGGGAGATCACAGAACAGGCAGGAGAAGATCAAAATCAAAGAACAGAAGAAGGCGCAAGTCAAGGCCTGGTAAACAAGTAACTTGCTTAAATTATGGCAAAACTGGCCACATAAAGAGGAACTGCAGGAATCCTAAGAAGGAGAATGACAGTGCAAATGCGGTAACTGAAGAATCACATGATGCACTACTGCTGGCAAGTCATAGTCCTGTTGATGACTAGATAATGGATTCAGGGGCTTCTTTCCATACAACTTTCTATCGGGAATTGATGCGAAATTATGTTGCAGGTGACTTTGGGAAACTATATCTGGCAGATTGAGAAGCTCTGAACATGGTAGGGATGAGAGATATTGACATTGCACTTCCAAAAAAGAACAAGTGGACTCTGCGAAAGTTTAGACACATTCTTGAACTGAAGAAGAACCTCAATTCTATTGGGCAGCTTGATGAGTGTGTACATTCAGTAGTGTTCTCTGATAGCATGTGTTCTCTGATAGCACCTAGAAGGTTACTAAAGGAGCACTGGTACTGGCTCGGGGGAAGAAAACAAGTACAATTTATATGACTACTGATTTAATTAACAGTGTTGATACTACTATTACAGAAAGCACAACAGAGTTGTGGCATTGCAGACTTGACCACACGAGTCAGAGAGGTATGAAGGAACTTCAATCCAGAGGCAAGCTACCTGAACTGAAGTCAATTGATTTCAGTATGTGTGAGAGTTTTATTATGGGAAAGCAGAGGAATGTCAGTTTCTTGAAAGATGGCAGGAAGCCAAAGGTAGGAAAATTGGATCTTGTACACACAGATGTGTGGGGACCTTCTCCAGTAACATCTCTTGGAGACTCTCGTTACTACATCACATTCATTGATGATCATAGCAGAAAAGAATGTGGTTATTTCTTGAAGTATAAATCTGATGTATTCAGTGTGTTCAAGACTTGGAAGGCCATGATTGAGACAGAGACATGCTTAAAGCTAAAATGTCTGAGGTCTGATAATAGTGGTGTGTACATTGATGGTGAGTTCAAGGAGTATTGTGCAGCTCAGAGAATTAAGATGGAGAAGACCATTCCAGGAACACCACAACAAAATGGTGTTGCAGAGCGCATGCACAGAACCATTAATGAGCGGGCTAGAAGCATGAGATTGTACGTCGGACTACCACCTACTTTTTGGGCAGAAGCGGTCAGTACTGCAGTTTAATTGATTAATAGGGGGCCATCTGTTCCATTAAACTGTGAATTACCTGAGCAAGTCTAGATTGATCAAGAGGTCAAATTTTCTCGCCTTAAGACTTTTGGTTGTCTTTCTTATATTCTCATTAATTATGATGCTTGCAGCAAGCTTAAGGCTAAGTCAAAGAAATATTATTTCATTGGTTATGGAGATGAGGCATTTGGATATTGTTTATGGGATGATCAGGGTCGGAACATTATTAGGAGCAGGAACGTGATTTTCATCGAGAATGTTATGTACAAGGACAAGTCCAATACTGTTTTTGAAACAACATCGAAGGAATCTGAGTTGGTAAGATTTGATGATTTACCAGAGGTCACAGTGCAGGATAGAGATGTTGGTGATGAGGAGAGTGGATCCGGGGCATCCAATCCTATTGTTCCACAGTCAGTTTCAGAGCAGTCTACCCCTACAGTTGCAGTTCGTAGGTCAGAAAGGGCTAGACGTTCTCCACAGCGTTATTCTTCAACTTTGAACTACATTTTGTTGACAGATGGTGGAGAACCACAGAGTTATGAAAAAACCTTGCAAGATGAAAATTCGAGCAAGTGGGAGCTAGCCATGAAGGATGAGATGAGTTCTCTACTAGAAAATCAGATTTGGGAGTTAGCAGATCTTCCAACAAGGAAGAAGGCATTACACAACAAGTGGGTGTACCAGGTAAAGACTGAGCATGCTAACAGTAAGAAGTACAAGGCTAGACTTGTTATAAAGGGTTTTTAGCAGAAGCATGATATTGATTATTCAGAGATTTTCTCTCCTGTGGTGAAGCTTACAACCATCAGAATGATACTGTCTATGGTGACTACTGAAGATCTCTTCCTTGAGTAGTTAGATGTGAAGACAACATTTCTTCTTTTTGAAGAAGACATCTACATGCACCAACCTGAAGGGTTCATGTTACAGGGAAGGAAGAGTCAGTTTGCAGATTGAAGAAGAGCTTGTATGGCCTGAAGCAAGCTCCTATATAGTGGTACAAGAAATTTGATAATTTCATGCACAGTGCAGGGTATAACAAATGTCAGGCAGATTACTGTTGCTATGTCAGGTATTTTGACAATTTTTATATCATCTTACTGTTGTATGTGGATGATGTGCTTATTACAAGTGCTAGTATTGTGGAGATAAAAAATCTGAAGGAGTAGATGTCAAAGCATTTTGCAATGAAGGATTTGCGAACGACAAAACAAATCCTTGGTATGAGAATTATCAGAGATAAAGTCAGAGGCATGTTGAGACTCTCTTAGGCTGAGTATGTGAAAAAGGTACTTAACAGGTTCAACATGGATAAGAGCAAACTAGTTGGCACACCCTTGGGAAGTCGCTTCAGACTCAACAAGAATCAGTCACCCAAGTTAGAGGAGGAACGAGATCACATGGTAAGGTTCCTTATGCTTCAACTATTGGTTCACTTATGTATGCTATAATTTGCACCAGATCGGATATTGCCCATGCAGTGAGAGTTTTTAGCAGATACAAGAGTAATCCTGGAAAGGAACATTGAGAAGCAGTGAAGTGGATCTTGAGGTACCTAAGAGCCTCTATAGAAACTTGCTTGTGTTTCGCAGGAAAGAATTCAGTGGTATGGGGCTATGTTGATGTTGATCTAGCTGGAGACATTGATACAAGAAGATGTACTAAAGGCTATATTTATATTATTGGTGACACTGCAGTATCATGGGGCTCTAATCTGCAGAAGACAGTTTCGTTGTCTACTGCAGAAGCTGAGTATATAGCAGTGTTAGAGCCTGCAAATGAGATGATATGACTACAGAGCTTCTTGAAAGAATTAGGCAAGAAGGATCAGATGGGCATACTCTATAGTGATAGTCAGAGCGCATATTCCTTGCTAGGAATCCAACATTTCAGCCAAGGACTAAGCACATGCAGATCAGGTATCACTTCATACGATCATTATTGGATGACAGACAGTTGTTGCTTGAGAAAATTTGTCGAAGCCAGAACCCTGCTAATATGTTGACAAAGGGTGTTACTCTGGAGAAACTAAAGTTGTGCACACATTCAGTTGGTTTTCTAGCTTGAAGACAGGGGCCTTGAGTTGCAGAGGTGGATGATAACATGTTTGAAGAAAAGGGCTACGCCGCTAGTGGAGGACATCAGTTTGAAGAATAAACATTGTTGTCTGTGTACCGGTCTCCAAGTGAGAGATTTGTTAGTCTGAAGACAGTTACACGAAAAAAAAAGATCGCACATGTTCCCGCTCCCGTCCGCTTACTCCCATGACTGCCTTCCCGATACCGCTTTCTCTCTGCTGCGAACCGAATTGTTTTCACGAATTAGGCTTCTCTCTCTTTTGCTTCTTCTTCTCTCGTGACAAGAAAGCAAGGCATTGTGTTTTCACGGGATTGCAAGGCTGCAGTTGGTGCTTTGCTGGTGTGGCTTACTGGTCAAAGGAATCTCAGACAGAAAGAAAAAGGTGTTTTTCTCAAGGTGCTCTCTCTTAGTTGTTTCTGCGTGTTTGGTAGAAGGAAGAAGAAGATAGTGGAAGAAGAAGGTTGTTCTGCTTGATTTCTTCTTGGTGGTTTGTGACAGAAGAGAAATAGGTTTTTTCACTTATATGTTCTTCTTCTTCTTCGGTGTATCTCAGTATAGAGAGGAGAAGAGAGAGTGAGAAAGTGAAAGACTTTCTCCTGTAATTGTCGTTGTGATCAAACGGTGTAAATTTCTCAATTAATAAAATCCTCTACAACGCCGTGGATGTAGGCAATTTGCCGAACCATGTAAATCTGTGTTCTTTTCTGGTGTGATTTTCTAGTTCTATTTTTCACTTCATTGTCGATCGTTTTAAATTTCGAATATACCACAACATTTGGCTGTTATGTTCGATTTTGAGTTAGCTCAACTAACTAAAATCAAGCTCAATCCAACTAAAAAATCAAACTAACTGGCTCAAATTTGATTTTTTTGAATCCATTGTAGCTTGAAATCGGTTTGTTCTGACCCAAAATCAAAACAAGATAGTGAGTTATTTAAATTCATTTCACCTTGAATTCGACTAGTAGATTGTTATATTTGATTTAATTTAGCATTATAGATAATTTTTATAAATAAAAAATAATTCGAGCCGATCCACGTATGACTCGAAGTATGACTCGAAATTCGCTTGAAAAAGTAGCTTTAAGGTTTTGGCTCATAGGTCGGCTCATTTATTTCGATTTGAACTTGATCTGAGCAAAAATTCAAATTAATTTTCGAGCAATTAATAATCTCTGAGAGAAAATCAAAGCCCTGCATAAAATAAATGAAATTAACATATCGAAATCATCTTCTAACAAATAACAATCTGATGAACGACAAGTAATAGATGTTTGTCCTCTGCCTCACATCATTGCTGCCTAATAAAACACAAAGTTTGATTCAACAACTAATCTCAGGATGATTTAGAAGGATGAGGTGCACAATTTTAATTAAAAAAAAACTCAAATTGGATATCACATCAATTTAGAAGAATTTGAAAGCTTTGTAGAGGGCTAATTTTAGATTTCCCTTAAACGGTAAGATGAAGCTTAATAACTTGCATTCTAGTTGTTTATATATATCATATAAAATCACATACTCTCTCTCTCTCTCTCTCTCTCTCTCTCTCTCTCTCTCTCTCTCTCTCTCTCTCTCTCTCTCTCTCTCTCTCTCTCTCTCTCTCTCTCTCTCTCTCTCTCTCTCTCTCTCTCTCTCTCTCTCTCTCTCTCTCTCTCTCTCTTTGTAAGAGACTCATTTTCAACTTTGAAATCAAAATAAAATTAGATTGGAGATGTTATGATTGACTAATGTTTGAGTTTGTATTATAAAAGAAATTTTGGGTCAAGTATCAAAATGAATCATTTTAGGATATAGAGTTTTGTATCATTCTCGACCTCATACATCTCAGGAGAGACTTGTGAGGACGCAAAAGATGGAATGTGGACGTGCCCCACAAGCTTGAACTCCTAGTCTCCCTAGAAAGAGAGGATGAAAGGGATGATAAGAAAGAGGATGGCGCAAATCCAGTTGAGAAGTGCGTGGGTACATCTATTTATTTGACTCATAGATGACCTTCTACCCTTGTGGGACTATAGAGATAGAAAATAATATAAAATCATAGACTGTACAGTACGAATCATGTTTCTGACATTCCAATGAAAAGACGATGACGTTGGAGACAACGACTCATAAATGGACAATGATATATGTTAATCCTTTAGCAATGAACTTCATTTCCGCAGTTAGTTGACCCCAAGGAACAATTGTTGGGAGTTTGATAGGTCATATTGACGGTTGATACATGTCATGCCGACACTTTGATAAGTGAGATCAGCGTCTCTCCATAGTTAGCACATGACAACTGACATTTCAACATATGAGATGGACACATTTTTTCGACTGTTGATAGACATTGACAACTGGTGATCACTTCTTTAAGTATACATGTCTTATGATCCATAAAGCTCGTTAGTAAATGTTTTGGCCATTGAAGACTTTATTTTTTGTTATGCATATCTTAATCAAAATTGAATCCAAATAGATTTTAATTTTAGGGATTTAGAAAAATACCCCACAATTCTTATGTGTTTACATATCTAGCACCTAAAATTTGATATTTACATTTATAATAATTCCGTATCATAAACATATAAATGAAATGGCCTAATTAACATTTAAAAAGCTAGTAATTATGATATTTTTTATGCAATGTTAGATATTTTAGTGTTATGCATGTAAATGTTATATTTGAGATGCTAAATGTGTAAATACATAAGAATTGTGTGATTTATAATATAATATATAAATAAAGAATATATCTGAGGGATCGTTTGCTCTGGTTGAAAGACATTGAAATTTTAAAATATTCAAAATGTGGATGTTTAAATAATGTGCTATTTACATACATGCCACTCAATTCAAAGGTATTCACATATCAGACACCTAAACTTCGATTTTTACAGGCAGGCCACCCCACCTATTGCCTAAACTTAGGGATGGGGTGGCGTCTACCTAAATAACAAAGTTTAGGTTTTTGATATGTGAATGCATAGAAATCAGGTGGCACGTATGCGAAAACCCCTCGATTGAAATGTGTTCAATCAAAAATACGAGAACAACATCTAATGGTCAGTGATAACTGTCAATGATCATGAAAAGTGATAACAATCGTGAGTACTGATAGTATCTGCCGATGATGTTAAATCAACGATGCAGGTGGTCATCAACAACGATGATGGCTAGTAAAAACGATAGGTGTGGCATCAAGTGAAATTTTGATAAAAATATAATTTTGATCTAGAAAAAGTGTTGAATAGTATGTTTCAATATGTCTTAAAATGTGCACACAATTATGATGGGGCCTTGTCCGAGCTATAGAGGACATTGTTTGAGGGTATCAAATGTTAGTTGTTTGAACATTTATATATGCAATTATTTAATCACAATTTGAACATGATCCGTTCGTGATTTGTGCATGTGTTTAGGCTATATGATATGAATAAGTTATGATCATGCTTTTGAATATAATTTGATCGTAAATTGTTAGTACATTATTTAATTCATGTTCAAACTTTATTTGAAGAACAATAAGATTATATGTTGACAAAGTGTTTTTCATATGTGAATCAAATATTAATTATGATGAACCTAAAATTAGCAAACTAATATTGTCTTTATAAGGAACAAGAACACTTAGGATAGAAAACTGAACTTAAAATCCTTAGAAAAAACCTTGATTTCTGACATCACCCGACAACTTAAAAAATACTGAAACTTCAAGCCTTTAGAAAAAAACTTGATTTGTGACCATAACAGACAAACTTAGGAAACAAACAAATCATAAGCTAAATATTAAACCCTAACAATAACTATTTATTTATGTATATTTAGGCTAAAAAGAATAAATAAAGTCATGAAAAACACATGGATAACTCAAGTCCCACAAAATTCAGAGCGTGAAATTATCTCTAATTATATTAGAATAAAAGGAGAGAAAAGAACAAACAATCAAAGAGGATGAGCTCATCCTGTTTACTCTGTCAAGAAAGGAGGAAGAGAGAAAGAGTTTAGATAGTCTACATATAATTCTATATGATATGATAACAATCTAACATAGATGAAGCTAATGTTAAGTTAGAGATCATAATTGAGTTACTTCTAAGATAAATGTCTTCATAGTGATTATTATAATGATCACTATTATTATTTTATTTTAGTTTGCTCCATTTATTCTTATAGGAATATTGTTAAGAGCCTAGGGCATATCAAGTCATGCTTCCTTCCGAACGGCCAACATTAGCAACCGCGGGTAAGAAAATAAGAGGAGCGGATTAGCAGCGGTTGCGCGGAGGATTTGTCATGGAGGAGGGAGCAGTGATCGCCGAAAAGAACTTAGACATACCTGCGCTTCCTGATGGGGAGGCGAAGAGGATTTTCATCGGCGGCGTAGGTGCCGGTGTTACGGCCAGCGACTTGGAGCATACCTTCTCGCCGCTTGGTATGGTTCACGACGTCGTGTTTGTCCGCGACAATGGCCGCAACTTCGCTTTCATGGATTTCGAGCCCAGCTCTGACAAATCCCTCTCTAAGCTCTTCTCCACTGTCAGTTTCCCCACTCTGCTTCCCTTCTTTTCATTCTTAATAAATCCAGTATTTCTTAATCGTTGAGATATTGTTTGCTTACTAAGCTTGATATTTAGAAATTTTCTTCGATTCATTCTAATCAGCGCGTTAGGAAATGTCGACCCAAGTGGGAATGAGTTGGCGTGGTTAATCTATTTTAAATTGGGGCTGTTTTGTTGTGATGTAAGGGGGGTTTAAGCTGCTTAATCAACCAATCACCTTATTGAGCTCGATACTTTTTTCATGCATATTCACCAGCAATAGACAAATTTTTTTGCATTAGATTGAATATAAGAAAATGAATAGAATAATATAAAATAAGTCACGAAATTGATAACAAGTTCATGATTAAATGAGCATTTTATGGAGCTCTTAGGGAACTACTTATTAAGAAATGAATGTTCATAAACATAACTGAATGAGTCCATATTCATGCTAGTTCATTCATATGCCAAGCTTTAAAAATTTTATATAAGTTTGTTCAATTATCCAACTAAATGAACATAAATAAGTCTAGTATGAACCAATATTGAGCGGAATACCATCACCCCAACTTACTTTTGTGTTACTCCTTCAACGACTTATCATTGCTATATTATCTTGAATTGTGCTTATCTTTTTCTACTGAGAATCAAATGACATTTTTAGAATAAAGTGAAGAGAATAGTTTCTAAATGGATCCCGTATGTACCATTTTTTTATGTGGGAAGGAGGTTAAAACCCATTTTGGAGAAGTTGATCAACCTATTCAATCTATTTTGAATCAAAAACTAAGAAAATTTCTTAGGACCTAAGTTTATAGTTTGCCTCTTCCTATCCCATAAAAAAGTTTTTGATGAAAAGCAAAATCAGCATGTAAAAAGTGGATATCAATGAACAAGTTTGACTCAAATGGCCGGGGCCCATAGGAGAAGCCATTTTAAAATGACACAAATTCGCTGTCAATGTGTCACGTTTCGGCCGGGGATTCAGAGATTTCAAGGTGGATATTGACGGTTGTACGGCGAAATTCAAATATAATTTTATCTCATATAACTAACAATTTATCATTCAAATAAATAAAAGCGTAACTAACAATTTTAATTCAAAATGTGCTAAATTTCTGACTATACAAATATTTGATATTGTGAGCCAGAGCCTAATTTTAGCACATAAACTCTAAAATAAAAAGAAAGAGGCAACTCACAATGAATTAAGCAGTGAATACTTTTCAATATATCGTATTAGAAAATGAATTATATTTAGAGGATGAGAGCGATAAAAGAACAACTTTAAGAAAACAAGCCAGAGCTTTGCCTAGAAACCTATTCTGGAAAAAACAATGACGAGATTACTTGCAAAATTAGTATTCATGATACCTCTTTGCAATATCTTCTCTATTTGGACTCTTAGATTAATAGGAAGTAATGGAAATTGTCTTGTGGAAAGAAAAAAAGGTGGAGGGAAATGAAGGGGACGTAATCCTTAGAAAGTCTCATTTCACCTCAATATAATCCTCCGAATGACCTTAAAATGTAAGAATATTTTAGATATTAATTTTTTTTTTTAGCAAAATAGTCATCATATGGACGTATTGTAATGACATTCAGCTTTAAAAGAAGGGGTCAATGTACTAGTTTATGTCTCAGAAGCCTGCATCTTATTTCTCTCTTTATTTTTTTTTAATCGAGTCTTATGACGCATATCTTGACAACTTTCATTATGATTTAGATTTCATAATGAAGTTAGGTTGGAATGACTGTAACACTTTACTTTAGCTTTCTATCTTTCAGTTTTTTTAAAATTAAAACATAGCAACAAAAGATGATAAATAGTACTTCAACTCGAAATATTTCAGCAGTCTAATGAATTTTATCTTTTTTGCAGTACAATGGATGCACTTGGAAGGGAGGAAAGCTTAAGCTAGAAATAGCTAAAGAGCACTATTTTGCTCGTTTGAAGAGGGAGTGGGCACAAGATGCCAAACTTGCTTCTGCCCCACCTCCTACTAAAGAAAGTTTGGAATTTGTAAATTCTCATAGTTCAAGCCAGGAGAATTCACAGATCCGAATTTTCTTTCCAAATCTGAGAAAGGTAACTTCTACTTATGTAATATGCGTCTTTAACTTTGTAATGTTGTTATTTGATAAATGCAGTCCAAAAAAGTAATTTTGTAATAAATATGTTCAACATATAGGGGCACTAGAATTTTTTGTTCAAAAAGGTGAATCTAGAGTTGAATCATTTGGTAATAGTTTAAAAAATTAAGAAGATCTGATATTTTACTGCAAAATGTGAGTTGTTGGAAATTAAAATAATTATGCCTTCCATTTAGAACAGTGGTCAGCAATTTAATTTATATGATTTAGAATATAATTTTTATCAAATTACTGCCATGCACCTGGTGGGATCTCCAACAACAACGATAAAACCTTTATCTCACTAAGTGGGGTTGGCTACATGAATCCTTTTTCTCCGTTGCGTTCTATTTAGTGTCATATTTTCATTTAATTCTAATAAATTATGATCATTTTTATACAATATGCCCAAGTCTTCCTAGGTTTACTTCCGGTTTTCTTAATATAAGTTGAATCTAAAACATCTACTCTCCAAATCGGATCATCAGATGGTCGAAGTTTAATGTAAGCAAACCATCTAAGACAACTCTCTCTAGGATTATAATAGATTTTTTTTTATAATATATATTTTGTACTATATGCACTGGGTAGGACTTTATGTAGTTAATATTACACTTGTCCGTGACATCACATGTAAAGAGTTATTTTTATGCTATAATTATGTGGAAGAAAAACATGAATGAGTGAATAATTTTGATTTTCAAGATATATGTGTAGAGGAGCCATTACTATCTTTGTAAAAGTTCATGCAGGTTATGTTTTTAACCCTAGGTTAAATATCCGATGTCTTGCAATGAGCCTATTTTCAAAATAGGAGTAAGGGTGTTTACAAGAAGCCCTCAAACCTTATATTAATGCGAGGGCCATGCATTATTTAATCTTTATTTTTGTTAAATGCTTCATCTCATCTCCTAAGTTTTTTCTGTTACCATTTTCATGGTACAACTTTTTACCAGGTTAATTTTCTTGGTCACTATGCTTATGATTCTGTTAGTTGCTATCCTTAAATAGCTTTAAATAAATTACTTACTTTCAAAAATCGAAGAATAAATGACAAAAGCAGATATTCTTCGCAGGTGAAGCCATTACCATTTAAAGGGACTGGAAAGCACAAGTACAGTTTTCAACGTATCGAAGTTCCTCCTCTTCCAATTCATTTCTGCGACTGCGAGGAACATTCTAAGGCTCTAGAAACAACTAGCCATGGGTATCTTTCTCGACTTAGCACTGTGGTGCATGAAAAAGAGCGAAACATAATGACTAATGTGATCGACAAGCTCATGAGAGGTGATAAGGTTGAAATATCTTCAAATAAAAATACTCAAGTTGCTACAGATCTGAAGATATCAAGTCCATGTAATGTGGACTTTTATCTTAGTGATGCAGAAGTTTCAGATGCAGATGATGATAACCTTGTGATGAATATTGGCGTTGGAGCTGAAGATGATATATTGATGCAGTTAAAAGGGGGAATGACACAATTAGCAGGTGAGGTATGTACACAATTTAACTTGGCATTGGAGAAGATATAATCGAAGTAATACCTCTTGTTATAATGATTTTCATTTATATTTTAGTTAAATAAATATCCATCCAATCAACATTTGACCACAACTATCTTCCTTTAAATATTTTTGCTTTTTCTTTTTTTGTAATGCTATTCGATAGAAAACTAATTCTAACCATTTCTATAGATCATTCTCTAAAACTTTTTATCTAAGACCACTGAACTGCATTTTTTTTTAGTCTTGGAGAATTTATGCTTGGTTCTTCTAAGAGGGTTTATTGTTATGGGTCAAAAATTCAAATAACACTATTTAGAGATTTTACTCTCATAAATGAAGACTTTATGATATAATTCTAGGTTTCTACTAGGCTTAAGCCTCTAGTTAATTAACCTTCTTGATGACAGCGGAGAACTTTTGATTAAGGCTAATTGTTGGGTGATAAGCGCTTAGTGTTTAGTAGGAGTCGGTTAATTTTTGATTAAAAATTTATCACCTTTTTCTTAGGTGGATGTTGTAGAGAATGATTAGGGTTGCAAATGAACCGAGCCAAGTAAGCAGGGTTGTGTTCAAGCTTAATATGTTTAATGAGTTCAAGCTCGAGCTGAGCTCAAGCTCAAATCGAGCTTTTGGGGTTGGAGCTTGTTTATAAAATTTGAGCTCAAGATCAAATTAAGCTTTTATGTTTTTGTCTAAGCTTTATTTGTCATTTTGACTGTTTGAGTTTAGTTCATATTTGTTTAATATGATGTAATTGAGATATTATCAAGCAGTTTAATTAGTAATATTATTGAGCTGCTTAATTTTTATTCAAATAACTTTTATTGAGCAAATTAAAATTGGCGCTATCATGCTATTGATTTTCTAACCAATTGAGACCTATTGAACAAACTAAGTAGTATGATTGAGCTATTTATTTCTAATCAAACGAGCTTTATTGAGCTTTTAAATAAGTTACTTATTTTATTTAAAAAATAAACGAACTACTAAATGAATAATTAAAATAAACATATATTTGTGTAAAATAAATGAACTAATCAAAAAAACTTTTATCTTGTTTTGTTTTCCATGAATTAAAAAAGTAATTAAATTTTATATAAATGAGTTTTAAGTCGAGTTTGATTGAATTTATTCAAGAACTTTAAATTTAGCTTTTCGTGATTTTATTCATAATCATTAATTTGATCTTTAATCAAGCTTATTTGCATATTTTTTTAGTGTCAGGGCTATACCCAATACTCCCCATATATGCCTTCATGAGAGAGATGTTGGGAGGCTGTTAAAATTCAATTTGATTGGACTTGAATATATCAATTGAATTAACCTAAAAATGATAAAATTGTAAGCATAATAAGTACTTGTGCATGTATTTTTAACTCTACGAGAAAATTCTTTGTTCACGTAATTTTTCATGTAGTTACCCAAGACATGCCTTTTTTGGTATAATTGGTTTTATAAATCATGGTTGTGGTGTCGTACAATGCTAATCATGCTTGTTTTTCTTTGCATGGTGTTGAGACATAAAACCCCTCGAAATAGTCAGGGTGAAGTTCAAAATATTGAAATTAAAAATTTTAAAGCAAATAAATAAATAAGATGAAATTAAAAAATAGCTAAGAATAACCTATAAAGTAAAAAAAAATATTTCTTTTAATCTAATCATTATCAATACGCATGTTAAATTGTGTACGACCATTTTTTTTTACATTAAAATCATCAATCATTGATTCTACATCAAATCCCATTATATTATCATTTTTAATTTCTCTTATCAGTGAAGTCGTAAGAATATCATATTTCTTTTTATTTTGTAACGCTGTGTTGACAATCTTTATAACTAAAAATGCTCGTTCAGTTGTTATTGAAGCAGACAAATTTATTCTCAATCTAATCCAATAATTAATGAGAGAATGCATGACTACTTTTTTAATCTTAGCCAAAATTTGACAGAGATCAAAAAGTGTAGAGAGATTCTAAAAATTAATGAACTTTAATTTTAAAATGCTCTAATTGAATTTTTAAATGTAGCTTTTTTGTATGTATGAAATTTTAGGATAAAGTTTATTGTGAGTTGTGTATCTAAAATGATTATGAAAATATCAATTTTGTAATGATGCTTTATTGTATTAGTGTCTTTTTTATAATGAAAGCGTCATCAATCTTCAGAGTAAGGATTATTCATATATGAATATGTATATCCCATTTTTCATAAAATAATTTTATTATCAATAACAAAAAAAATATTATATTTAAATTTTGATGAAACTATTTTGTTGTTGATTATTGAATCACATTTAAAATGCCTTGTGACTTCCTTTATAATACTTAACAATGTTCATCTGTAATTTTTAAAATTTTTAACAGATGTAAAATGAAAATAAAATCAAATAGTGTTATTACATTATAAACCATCAATTTCATTTCATTGACTTGATGAATTTATTTCCTTAATAATTTTTTCATTTTATTTGCTTGATGAATTTCTTTCCTTAGTAATTTATTCTAAAATAACATAGACAGAATCATTCATTTTAACTAAATTTTGCAGAAAACTCAAATGTGACTTGCAACATATATATTTTGCATGTTCTTAGATATCAACTCGATTTAACCCCCTACCAATGTCTAGTTCATTAAATGGAAAATTTTTTACAATTTTAGGTTCTTGAACAATTTTCAATTTCTTTTGGTATTTACATGAAGAATAATAAATCCAATTAATTATTATTAAGTATTTAAGTTCAAGGGGAAATGCTTTAAGTGTATTATATTTTAATATGGAATTTAGAAAAAATCTAGGGGCTATTAACCCCTATCCCCCCTGGTGAATGAATGTGCAAAAGGATAAAGCTAAAATTAATATTTGGACTAAGTGTCTGTTTGGGGCAATTGAAACTGTTTTAACAAGCAGCTGTTAAATTCTTATAGATTAAATTGCTTTTCAAAAATCTATCGTGACCAGTGCAATATATTTTTTAAAATCTTTATTAAGTCAGATCGCAACTTTCTAGAAGACACCACACTTAAACATGTCAGGTTTCAAAACACAGCTTTTCAACAGTGATTTGACAATAGTATCGAAAAATGGTTAATGGATGTGATCACATTTGACCAAAGGCAATTAAACATTGATACCTATGTAATGACGGTCCAGTGAAAACGATCGTTCAATGACATGTGACTGATAACGATCACACAATGAATGTTTAGTGAAGGTTATTGGGTGACAACATTACTTATAATGCTCAACAAAATTTTAGAATTTGTGGCCTACAAACTCTCTCCATTAAAATTTAAGTAGAGATCTATGTCCCCATTTTGATGAGAATGAAATTTATTTATAATTTTTGGGAGTGATATTTTGATATTCTTAATCAATATCTTAAAATATCCGCATGATGACATGCATTTATTATTCTTTTGAATATGAATTATTTTTAAAATATGAGTGCCTTAATGACTTCAATATTTAGTGATTTTAGACTTATTAAATTCTTATCATCAAAACACAGTTTTACCAAAAGCCACAAAGTATGGTGCAACACCACACCTCTGCCTCAGAAGTAGTTTAAAGTTTGTTAAAATGAGATTTGTTAAAGGTCATCTTCAAACAAAAACATAATTCAAATAGAACTTGAGCATGACTGGCAGGGAATATTACAACTCTCCAAAACCCTCATATGAACATTCAAAATATTTTTGTTGGCTTAGCAGGACATATTGAATACCAATAAAACCTGCATAAATTTACGTGGAACTCGATGACTCATCTATGAGCATAAATAAAACCCGTAATGAGCTCAGTAGCTTGCTAGCAAATATAAACATGACTTGCATGTAACTTACAATAAACTCAATAAATCATCAATGAGCATAAATGAAATCTACTTGAATATTTAGAATTGAATAAAATATGCCCTAAATGAAAGTAAATAAAAAATCACATTAAATGACTGAACAAGCTCTTAAAATGGCTTAATGTCACTAGATCTATTACATACCTACAAACAGATAGAAAGTTGTATTCAAAAAGATTGAAGTAAAGCATTTATACGAATCAATATAATATTTGTCTAAATAATATTGAGCCTTTTGGGATCACTTTCTATATTTTATTTTTATTTGGTTTTTTTTGTTTATATTTTAATATAAAATAAAAATATTTTTGGTAGTTTAATAATTTCTATAATTTAAAATATAAAAATATATTTAATATTCTTATGAATTTTCTATACCTTCTAGTTCACCATGTTCTATCTTCTAAGTACTGATGTGCTTCTACAAGAAGGTCTGTAAGAAGGTTATCCTAGAAATTGAGATCACCCAGCTAGTAAGCTCATTTTTTGTATCTTCTCTCCGAGTAATCATTGACTATTTCTTTTGTAAAATTGAGAATTGCTATGGAGTTTTGTTGGAAGCTAAAAGAGGTTTCTTCCTTTTGATTAAAGCTTGCATAGAGTACATGAACATAAGCAAGTTTTTGAGAAACTAGTTTGTTCATACGTCTTCTCTCTACTTGAGATCCAATTGCCCTAAGATGTAGGAAGGCCTCGGCTTGAGGCCCAACTGCCTAAGGGGTTGTTTGGCTGCAAGAAGGACTTAGTGTTAGTAGGATTTAGTAAATCCAGATTTAATATGAATTGAAGTCAAAATTCGGACCTTAAATCCAAATCCATAGAACTTGTGCTTTTTATGTTTGGATGGATTTAATAAATATGACTCATAAATCCTATTAATTGTGTGCTACCAAACACCCCTCAAAGATCCAGGAAGGCTTCTTAACGAAGACAAATTGGTAGTTTTCTGCTTAGAGTGTTTGAATGTTAGAACCAATATAACATCTATATCTCTACAGTGGATCATGGAGTTATTGGAGAACCATGAGATTCAACTTAAGCTTTAGAAAGTGATCATAAATGGGGAATCAAATCTTGAAGAAATGGAGAAGCTACCTTATCAAAATGTACTAATAATTGAAGGGCTACGAC